TCTCTCTTTCTCCCTCTCTCTCCCTGTTTTTCTCCTATTAATTCAAGTGCAAATGAACGAAAATTTCATTCTTTTTTAATTTTGAAATGAAATGAAATTTTAATTTCTAAATTATTTAAGGTCAGATATAGTAAAAAAAAAAAAAAAAAGAAATGATTAGATAATAGACAATAGTTCAAAGCTTACTGAAAATGTATAAAATTTACTAATTAAATAATCTGAATTTGTTTTTTTTTCTTCTACCATACCAAAAAGATGATTGTATAATAAATATATCTGATAAGATTGATAATACGATAGTATTACTGTATCTGCTCTCCTTTCTTCTAAAATATTACGGTGTATCATGTTAGCAGTGATCTTCGTTTCTCTTTTTTTTTCAGTTTTCAAAATATTTATATATTAAATTCATTAATGACAGTATAGAAATAGCAGGAATTAAATTTTTCAATGTTATCAATATCCTTGTTTTTCACATTGTTTTTCTTATTTTGTTCACATTGAAATTGTATTCTGCCTCATAAAAGTCATAAAAATTTATCATCATTTATCATTATTTCATAAACATGTCGAAGGTATGATATGCAAATTTTAATTACCCAGGAAATTGTAAATAATTATTGCTCTTCATGAAATTAATATTTCCTGCTCAATTGAAATATTTGCTATAATAATATTAAATTTATGCAGAAGTTTTGCTGTCAATTGAAACTTTCATTAAATGGAATATAAATTACGATTTAAAAAAAAAGTTTGCCAATTAATTAATTAAATTTATGCGAAATTTCGAGTTGGATGAAATATAAATTATCATTTAAGCGAAGTCTCTTTTTTTTCAACTTTTTTTTTTTTCATTTTGGAATATTTGTTTAAATAAGATATATTGTCGAGAAATGGATGGAGTAAGAAATATTTGCTAAAAAGAGAAAATGATTTATTTTCGATGATAAGCATGGAGGAAATTTGAAGCAACAATCATTCGTGTTATTTCTTCTCTGCAACTAATTAATTCTGATGTTATTTAAATTTAATATTAATACTGCTGATATTTGGTACTTCATATAAAAATTTATTTCATATTAATAACATTTCATACTTAATAGATTTCAAATTAAATTTCAGATTCAACATATATTCCACATTAAGATTATCGATATTTTATACCAAAATATAAAAATCACATTTTAAATTAATAATGCAATAGATTTTAGATTTAGTATATATTTCTCATTAGTATTATCGACATTTTGCATTCAATATATATATATATATATATATCAGTATCAGCGATATTTGATATTTGGTATATATAATATATCGCATATTAGTACTGTTGAGATTTTATACTTATTACAAATATTCCATTTCATGATAATACTAATTATAGAGATTTCATGCAAAATATGTATTTCATTTCAGTATTATCGATATTTCTTTTCAAATCAATGCTATCACTATTTAATACTTTTATATTTGTATTATTTATTATTTCATATTTAACATAAATTTGGCATTTTATGTTAGCATTAATAACTTTTCATACTTGATATATACATTTCATATTTTTTATTAGCATTATCAATGTTACCTATTTATTATTTTATATTTAAAAGTAAAAAAAAATGTTTGGCGAATCAGTTTATGGTAATTATTCGTAATTATTCAAATTCTAATATATAAATAATGAATTTTTGTTATCTATATATATGTGTATATGTGAATAAACGATAAATCATTTGCGTTTTAAAAAAAAATTAAAATAAAATTCATTTTTTAAAAAAAAATTTTGTTCCATACTTTATGAGATATCCAGAAAACATTCGACAATAAATTTTTTTTTCAATAGTTTATATGCAAATTTTCAATTTCTGATAATATTTGGAAATTGTTCGATGTATTTTTTTTGCTTGCATTTTTTTTATATCTAAAATGTTAGTATATGCGAGAATATTGAAATTCTCAAATCAACAAAGGTGATAATTTTTTGGATGATAATTTTGGTATAGATTACGATATATTACTGAAGATAATGTGGAAATGAGATATTGACTAAAATTATCAGATATTTTTTTATTCATTTCCAGTTCCATTTGAATTATTGTTAAAGGAAAATAAGTTTTCACTTTCTAAATTTAAATTTGTGAAATTTAAGTGTGTAATGAATTTGTTGTATAATTTCAAGTGAATAGAAATTGCTCATTTTAAATCTAATAATTTCGAATATGAATGCAATTTTATATGGATTTATTAGTAAATAATAATGATGCAAAAAAAAAAAGAAATATTGAATATTTATTGTTAAATGTATTTTTATATCGAAATGATATTTATAGATAATAACAAATCAATTCTATGATTTATCATTCAAGGGAATTTGTTATTGATAACTAATCCATTCATTTATCACATTATTGTAATAAATTTAAAAATTTCATTCGTGTAATTGAAACAAATGATACAATTCCAAATTTTATTGTCAACTTTTTTTAACAACAATCTTTAAAATGGAATATTTGTCATTTTTCAGTCCACTTTTTTTTCTTGAATATTTTTTAATTTACTCCAAATGTAACTTATTTCATTAATTTTTAAAACACATTGTTTATTACTTATTTTATAATCTTCTTATTGCATAAATTCCATCTTTTGCTTCATTTTTTATATTACAAACCTTAGTTTAAAAAGAAAAAAAAAATTATTCTAATTATTTTAAGAAACGAAAAAATTGTAAATATTTAATTTATTCCATATCAAATAATTTCAATTTAATAAGTATGGAAATTTTTCCAATAAAATATTTGCATATAATCCAAATATTCCATAAAATTCTCTTTCTTCCTTATTCCACAAAAATTCTTTCTTCTTTTTTTTCCCATTTTTTTTTTATTTTTTTCTTTCTTCTATTTAAATGAAATTTTGCAGAGTATATATATGAGAAGTATGAAGAAGACAGAAAAAGACTGATAGATCATCAGAAGAAACGAAAGGCCTTGTAATTTAGGTAATTGTTGTGCCAAGGGAAATTTTTGAAATGAGCCAAATCGCCTTTTGCTTTTGCTTTTTTTTTTACCATAATAACTTCGGATATTAAACATCAAAGTCAGTCTATCCAAATCCTTTTTTTAGCCATTTTTCTTTTCTTTTTTTTCTTTTTTTTTTTTTGTTTATTGCTAAAATAACTATGCAAAAATTGTTTCACTGATTTTTGCGCATCAAATTTCACCTGGAAAAAACGACAATTTCTGTCATTCATA